ATGGAATTCAGGGGTGCTCTACCACTGAGCCATATCTCCAACCCCTTTTTAAATTTTGAGATAGGGTCTCATTAAGTTACTGAAACTGGCCTTGAATTTGTGATCCTCCTGCTTTAGCCTCCTGAGCCACCAGGATTCCAGGTGTGCCATCGTGCCTGGCAGAAATTACATTTTCAACAAATAGTCCATGCACTGGTTAAGAACTCTGTGTAAGCTGCTAAATGAAGGTGTCATCATGAAGCAGAAACCAGGAGACTCAGCTCCTGCCTCAAGTTCCACTTTTTTAGCTGTGTGAAACCCAGTGAGCCAATATCTTCAGGCCTCAGTTCTTATAGCTATGGAAGGAAGTGCGTGAGTTATGGAGGATGCCCTTTCCAGCTGTAAACCTGTGCCTTGAGTAAATTAAATACAAAGGGATGAAGTTTACTTTATATTTCATTTCTACAACTTTCATTTTTTGGTTTAAAAAATGAAATGCAATTAAAACCATGCCCACTTATAGAAGGGAAAGTAAATGATAATAGTGCTCCTTGACATGAATGTTTAATAAATCAAAGTGGCCTCAATTTAGTTTATATACCTATATAACATCATAACACTAGCACAAGTGTGTATAGAAGTGAACAAATATAAATGTCTGCATCTTTTTGATGGGAGATTTTTCTTCGAGTAATACAAATAACTCCAAAATTTTTCCTGGGATCCCTAGAAAATTATATTAAGACCAGGATATACCTTAGGAATATTCTTTCTTTAAATTCTGGAACCTGACAAAAATCAAATAAAATTTATGTCACCAATGCTTGAAGCAATGGTCCCTTTTGAGACCCCTTAAAGTGGGATTTACTTTGGAATTTTGATGATGGTGTTAAATGATGTAGCCTGAGACTTGGCAAGTTTCTTTTTTCTTTTTTGGTATTGGGGATTTAACCCAGGGTGCTTAACCACTGAACAACATCCCCAGCCCTTGACAAGTGTTTTTTAGGATGGCCTGGTTACTTACAGGAAGCATGATGGACTGGAATGTTCCCTGCTCCACTTTTTCACTATAAATAATAAAGTAACCTTTTGAATGAGACGTTCATAAAATATCCTTTGAATTTCAAATGACCATTTTTAGATCTGAAAAGTATGCCAAAATTATCCTAGGATGAAACTTGCAGGGAATCCTGGACAATCATATTTTAAACTGAATTGTGAGCGAGGAGCAGAAACATAGCTCCATGAAGTGGTTATAGAGCTACAGGGATACTTGCTTCCCAGAACACCAATCAATGGAACTGACTCAAGCTCCTGAACTCAACTGTATCTGCAGCCAGCATCCTCTGAGAAGCTTTAAGAAACATAGAAGCCGAGGTTCTAGCACAGACATTGAAGGTAAGAATCTAGGTCGGGAATGATGAAGCAGGAATCTGAATCTTAGGAAGCTTCCTAAATGAAGCTAATTCATGAGGCTGGGACCACTCTAAAGCTTCATATCAAGCTTCATTCTATGAGGAACCAAGGATTAAAAGCAGGACATATCGGTAAGCAAGCTCTTGGTATCAGACAAGAGCTAAAAGGAAGCCAAATTGATTCAGAACCCACTTAACTCCTGGGAACTTACCTGGATGACCCTTTTAAAGATCACTGACATGTTTCGCAAATAATAAGTCCTCAATAAGGATTTGAAAAATGGACAAGTAAAATGGGGGTATCTTACAAACTTGGTTGTCTTAACATCTTGAGAGTTCACTGCTTTTCAGAGCCCAGAGTAGTTGCAGATGTAGGCAAGGAGGCAGTTGGAGTCCTGAGGCAGGGCTATCAACCTTTGCCACACCAGCAGAAGGCCATATTACATTTTGTCTATCACTTACAAAGACAACCCACCTGGTAGGACCAGAAGGGTGGGGCTAGTACAAATTCTGCTCTAGAGAGTCAGCAAGGATAAAGCTTACTGTGGGCTTTGATACCAACTGCAAGAGCAGGCAATACTGACCCTGTCATTTCATCACAAAGAGAGGGACAGGCTGTATAGATGGGAATAATATTTGGACATAGATTCTCTGGTGACTGGATCTTAGCATTCTACATTATAAACCTCAAGGTCAGTTTTACTACACATGAATAAACTTGCCTGGGCTGGTTAAAAAAAAATGTTTTTGAACAACCTTGTCCAATAAAAATGCAAACCACCTTTTTATTAGATGCCAGGATAAACTTTATTTTCCTACAAACCATAGAATGACCCAAACATATAGCACCTCAGTGCTGTTTCTCCACTTTATTAAATCATCACAGTAAATCAGAATTCAAGGGGAAGAGGGTACAGAGTCAAGAGACGTCATCAGTGGAGCTGTGTGCTTTCCTGGGCATGACTGCCTCTGTAAAGTGTGTCCTGGCATGTGCATGCGCGCACACACACACACACACACACACACACACACACACACACACACCTGGGAAAGTGGGCTAGATGTGAAGGTTTCTATCACCTAAGAATGAACCTAGATGTGCAGCATCAGGAAAATTAAATAAAAAGAGACAGCAAAATAAGGATCAAATGACAGCTATAACTTAATTTACCATATTTATCAAATTTTCTCCCTATTTACACATTGTAGACCTAAAAATATAAGAAAACATTCACTTAATGTGTATGTCATACAGAGATATTGAGTGCAACTACAACTATGGTTGTTTCTCGTTGAATTTCCCTTCAGATGTGGACATCTGCCTTCTGTAGATAAAAACTAACACAGCTACATGTAAGATATCACAGTAAATTTTAAAGGATTCACCAAATCTCCACTTGATGCAAGGATAACAGGTCAGTTACACCCAGGTGGTGACACCTGAGAAAGCTCAGGAAGACTGGATTTGCATGGCTCTCTGAATCTTCCATGATCTCTTGTTTGTAAGGCTAAGGGTCCTGATTAATCAACCCACATCACAAAGTCAAGGGTCCCCTCCATCCCATGGCTCTTAAAAGCTGCAAGTGTGGCAGCTGAAGACACTGTGACAGTCACTTACCCGGGCTAAGTTTCTTTCCTTGTGTCTGCTCAAGGATTAACTACTTTTAAAAAGTTATTTTGTGGAACTACTATTTTTAAGTATAAAATCGTGATCAATGATATGATAAAAATCAGTTAACTCTAGATGGAAATCCGGAAATCGTCATGCAGAGAAATGAGGGAATTGCCCAGGCCCAGTGTGAGGCCAGCAAATCTTATCACATTCTGGGCCAATTAGGAACACTTGTGTTTACAGATGGCTGAACTACTAATACTAATGTGATGAGTCAGCGCTGTGACTCAGGAGGGTCTCTACTGGATGAGTGACCCTCAGCAATTTTGCTAAGAGGCATTTATTACAAAAACACAATATTTACTTTTCTAACTGAAAAAAAAATTCCTCATTTCAATTTTCCACCCCAAATAACAAAAACGACCAAGTTCATGTGATTGCAAGCAAACATGGTTGCCAGAGTCCCTGCTTCCCCATTCCATCTCCAAACCAAAGCTGTTACTGAGAACAGTGGACTAAAAGAAAAAACAAAACAAAACAAAACAAAAAACTCTAGTCACAAAACTGCTGGCTGTCATCTGGGGTCACAGGGTTGTTAAAATCATAAGGGATTACATGAAGGTCGAGTTATTTGCTACCTACAATTGAATTTCCCACTCCAAGGTCAGAAGCTCTGGATCATGGAGGCAAAATGAATCATGGAGCAGAGGTCCAGGGGAGTTAAATATGACTTCCAGGATGTTCCCTAGTGGCAGATGCTTGCCTAGCATGCACAGGGTCCCTGGTTCTGTCCCCAACACCATTAAAAAAAAAAAAAAAAAAAAAAAAAAAAAAAAAACTTCCAAATTCTTCTACTTCAGCCAGGAATTCTGCAACAGAAATTTCTAGAGCCTGGAGATAAAATGTTCTGTGGGAAGTTATTTGCTTCTGGAGTGCTATGGGGGACTCAGGACCCCAGGAACAGGTGATGTGCTTCTCTATAGGAAAAAAGTCTGGGTACTTTGTAAACATGAAACCAAGTGTATCAATCACAGTCAAAAGCCTGAGCAACACTGGCCAAACTCTGTTGACCAGGAAACCCAAATCACTTAAAGAAAAGGAAAGGATGGGAGGGGGAGTGGGTGAGAATAAGAAGCAAGGCATTTGCTAGCAGGATAGGAACACCATGATTTCTTTTGTCACTAATCCCCAAAGAAGTGAATGCACTGGGCCATTAGAAAATAGCCCCAAAGTGCTGGAGATGTAGTTCAGTGGTAGAGCTCTTGTCTAGGAGGTTCAAGGTATTGGGGTTTAGTCCCCAGCACTGCTCATGCCCCAAAAGAAAACATCCCAAAGTGATTAAAGCTTACTTCTACTTAGGAATGTCCTCCATTCTCTTACATTCAAACAGCTCTGTCCAATGGTCCTGGGACTCAATCTCTGCCTGCAATCCTACATAAAGTAGACAGACTCTTCCTAACACTGGAAGTTCCACTTTTCTGATGGGAATGATGTTCTTAGTCTTTCTCACTTGTCCCAAGAGTGAGTCTGACATCTGCCCCTGTTAGGTATCAGCCAAATCAACTCAATGGCTCATGAAAAAATTGATTCCTCAGGGAAAGTATAACATACGAGTGTGTGTGAAGAGCAGAAGGCAGCATGCAGGAAGGTGGGAAGGTGTGTGCATACCTTTTCATATCCAGGGCCAATCATGGCTGCATATTGCCTACTGCTTTCCCACTCCAAACCAAGGGGCATTGTGCACTATGAAATGGTCTCACAAGAGCAAGAACTGTGCAGTGTGTGATGGTCTCTGATGAGTTTCTTAGATTTCTCTTGGAGGTAGAGGGGTAAACTTCTAGCTCTGAGACTGCTCCCTGGGGCGGGACACAGGAAGAAGGCTGTCTTCCCTATGGATTGATTTCCCTGTTGCTACATGGCAGGATTCACCCAGAAATGCCCAGCAAGGGAGCAAGACAAGCTCAGACAGAAGACAGGATTTTTTATTTTCTTCCTTTCCTTCTCTTCTTCCTTATTTTCTTTCTCTTCCCTTTATTATCTTTTTTAACAAGTCCAAATGGGTAAAAAAAATATGGATCAAATAAATCTCTTGCTTGCAATCTGCATGACAAGAAGCATTTCCAAGGCCTGTCTTGGCCCTCTTTGAGTAATAGCCAGGAGGGAAAATGAAGGTGAAGCTTTGGAGGCATCTGGACTTTGTAGAGTCTCCATCTACCTCACTGTGGCACCAGACACTGGCACTTGCCTTTTGTAAGGATGTGGGACTAACCCTGGGGTTTCTTCTTGTCTTACAAGATAGGACGTCCGTCTCACAGGATAGGACCTTGAATTTCTAGAGACTTCTGAGTGTTCTGGGATAGGATCAGAATTATGATTTGGGAGTCCTCTGAGTGGTCAGAAAAATCACCTCAGTGAGTGGACCTTAGGTATAAGATGGCAAAAGACTTCACAACTGAGAGAAAACTCCTGGGCTAAAGACCCCTGGGAAAGCCAATTTCAATGATGATGAAATTTTTGAGTAAACCATAAATCATAACATAAGGTGAACTCACAAAATTGATACAGAGAAAATTCCACAATTCCACAATTGTTTTGCTGCCCTCTGGGAATCTTGCTTGGGTTTATAAATGAGGGTAACCAGCTTGGGGTTCAGAAGTCAACTTCCCTCTGCCCCCTCCCTGAAAGTGAGCAAACACCAGAGTAAATCAGAGACAGCAGGTTTGTTTCTGGTTGTTGATGACTTTCTCTTTTTTGGAAGCTGGAGGTTTGAGAAGTTTTAGGATGAGATGACATAGCCCCACTTGAAAGATCCACATGAAATAGTTCAGTGGGATCCACCTTTGACTTCGAGGATCCAGTGATACGAAAGCTTGCTGAGAACGCTGGCACAGTCATGGAGTTTCCTGAAGTCTCTGGGTTTGGAGCCAAGGGAAAAGGGCAGGGGAGTCTGGTCTGTCTCCTCCACACCAAGGGACTCTTTGAGGTCAGCACTCAAGATGGAGGCCAAGGCCCCTGCAAAGGAAGCAGAGAATGGTCAAGTCATGGAGTTGACCCAAGGGCCACAGAATTTAAGAGGGCATTGGTGGCACTCAAAAGAAAGAAAACTCGGTCTCAGGAAGAGGGTTGGATGTCCTCCCCAACCTGGTGGTGTGCTTGCAAAGATGTTTGTTGAACAAATCAACAAATGAATGTCTTTCTTCCTAGTCTTTGCCTGGCGTTTTCTACAGCATGAAAGAAGCTATGAATCTTTTTGAAAATAACTCACAGCCTTTCTGGCCAACCCAGAAATAAAGAATGAAGAGAAATGGCATCTGATTATAGAAAAAGAGAGAAAGAGCCATGAAGAACATTACCCCCAGCCTTTGAGGAAAAACCAGTGAAACTTTGTGGAGTGCCTTGTGGATCCCATTGATGCTGTTGGAATCTCTTACATATTAATATTTTACACAATGGGTTACTACCCAATTATTCCCCCAAAGGGTATAAGTCTAGAGGTCAGGACTAAATTGCTTATCTGAATGAGCCCAGATAAGCATACAGCTATTTAGCACTGGAGGGAAAAAGAATAAAATTAAAATTTGTGAATGCATCCCTCCACTTCCCTGGGGTCACTCTAGATGAACTCAGAGGAATTCAAGAATGCTTGCTGCAATACCCAGCCACTGTTGCCAGTGGAGTTTGGTCTCCCCTAGGACTGTTCTGCGAATGAGAAGATCATTTCATCACCCTTACCCTTGTAATGTATTTTTAAACCCTATTGTACTACACCCCAAGTTTCCCTGAGTGACCTCTGTTTGGAACAAGCTTCAAAAAGCAGGGCTTCTTACATCCTCCCTACATGCTTCACTTCCTCTGGCCTTTAAAATTATTATTATTATTATTGGCATTTGAAATTCATTTAAGTAGTTTATTTTATTCACAGACAGGATCTTTTTTCATCTTCTGACCTTGCCTTATCGTTTCTAGGGAAGAGCTTCTCCAATCAATACTTATAAACATGCTCAGACCTGTGGAGGCAATCTGCCCCCAAGCATTCTGAAATTCTGCACTTTCAGACTCCAATGGCAGGGTGCTTTACTGTCACCTTCCTTTTAAGCCTAGTGAAGTCAGGCAGACAGAGGAGGCCTGGGTCTCCTGCCTACTATTTTCTTCTTTAAAAAATAGGCTGGGCTGGGGCTGAAGCTGGGAGTATAGTCTAGTGGTAGAGCACTTGCCTAGCATGCATGAGGTCCTGGGCCCATCTCCAGCACTGCTAAAACAAAGCAAAATAGGTTGCTTTGGACAAAATCAGCACAGCTAGACATTCATCCATGACAGAGACAGGATTGACAAAGGCATCTCTCTACCTCTTGTTGCTGGTGGTGGGCAGGAGCATTTAATTCAGGGGTGAGGGGGAAGCAGAGGGAAACAAACCTGATTTAATCCTAGATAATCTAACATTTTGAAATACTACCCCACCTACTACTGTATTCAGTTGGGATAAGGAAGCAAAAGGCAAAAATAAAATGAAAAAACAACCAAATAAATGAAAGATACAAAGTGAGGTTCAAAGATATTAAGCAAAGGAGTGCATCTTGGCTAATTCTGGATTAGAAGGCAAACATTGTAGCCCCTCCTTCCCACTCCCCCATCCAGGGAAAAGGAGAAGAGTAAGAAGGGTGTCCCTGGAATTCCTGCTGCTATGAAGATGAACAGAGTAACCAACATACCAATCATCTGTCCCACTGAGTGAGCCTGAGTGAGCAGCATGAGGCTCCGCAGCAAGGGCCCCATGCATCTAATAGCAGAGACCCTATCATCCAGGGGGGAGGGCAAAGCCACATCTGGAGTTGGGCCAGACCCAGTGCCACTGTGCTCCATGCATTCTTCCAGTCCTCAACTTTTTGATGGTGCATCCTCAGTCTGCCATGGCACCTATGTGCCAGCTGCACTCCCTGATGGATGGGGAGGTGGCAGCTGCAGATAAGCAGGTAGGCCACAAAAGAGAAGGCTTCTTTCCTGATAGGATAATTCTACTTGCAAGCTGCTGGCAGAGGCTGCCCTGACTTGGCCTCTTCCTGGTGATGGAGGCTGGGGGCCTATACAAAGACCATTCGAACCCCACTTACCTCTATTGTGGCAGATGTGGAAGGACACCCAAGGAAATGAAGGGCCTCAAGAGTAGAAACCTTTGCACCAAATCCCCCTGTTGGGAGGAGATTGTATGACCTCCTATGTCCCCTCCCTACTTAATACCTGGGCTCTGAGGCTCCTAATGCTTCTGGGAGCTGACATAAGTGAGCCTGATTTGGGACAATATTGGAAGTAGGCCAAACCCATGACTGAGAAGAAGAGAAAAGGCAGCTGGGCTGGAGGTCAGCTCTCTGTGGTGCTGCTGTACATCTGGCCTGCAGGTATAAAGGCCCTGCCTAGTAGATGGGATTTGAATTTTGGATAAACCAAAGAACTCAGGCTCTAACTTTGCACTTCCATAGGTATTGAGACAAACTGGCTGGCTTCTGTTCCATGCATTCCACATGGGTGATGTTGCTAATCAAGGGAAGTTCACTCATGCTTTCTCCTTTGAGTGGCATTGCCATGGACACTATCAGCTCCTATTCTGCCTGTGAGCCATTACAGCCCAGGCCACACCACAGAGGGTTTTTAGCTGGCTATGCCAAGCAGCTTCTTTTCAATCCATTAGAATGTCCTAAGAAGGGCCTGGACCCCAGACCCAGAACAGAAAGGCTGAGAGGTCACACCTGCTTCAGCAGACTTGCCCTCTAGATCCTAGACTGTGGATGGGGTTCTCTACCCTCTGTGCTCCAACAGCTTTTGTCTGTTTCACCTCCCACAGCTGTTCCATTCAGCAGCCTCTTCCACAACCAGCCCTCCCTGCCTGGAGGCCTCCATTAAGGCAAGCAGTCAAAGGCCACCCAGCACGAGCCACATCTTATTTGCCCATCTCAAGATCCTGCTCCTCTAGGATCAGGCAACAAAAAAGGGGGAGGCCCCTGCACCCATTGGTTTCCTGCAGCCCCCCCCCCCCCCCGCCAAAAGGGTAGGTGACAAAGACATTTTCCAGGATGGCAGGTGTTGGTGTCAGATTCCACCCAGAGTGCACAGGCAGAAGAAAGGCAGGCAAGGCTGGGCTTCCCCGGGCAGCACAAACATGCAGGGGCAGGAGAGCAGGCAGGGTCCCTTGGGAGGATGGCAGGAGGCACCAAAGCCAAGGCTCAGGAAAGCAAGCGGGCATACAGCAGTGTTAGGGATGGAGAGGAGCATGTTAGTAAATTTACACCCCCCCAAAAGCAGGGTAAATGGGAAAACCCACTGAAGTGTCAGTCTTACCTTGCTCAAATATTGTAATGAGACCTTTATATATTTTAATCTGAAGGGAAAGAGCATAAAGTCAAATGAATACAAGCATGGCACCTCCATGGTTCCAACTTGATAATTAACACAGTGCTAATAATACACATATTCCCGAGCTGCCTGAGTATTCTTGAAGACTTGCAGATCATTAAGACCTGAAAAGTCTACTTGATGGGAAAAAATACTAGCTGTTATTGCACTTACAAGTGGGAAATGAAAGAGACATTAGAACTCCTACAATGTATGAAGCAGACCTTGGTAGGAGCTCTTTCCTTTTCCTGATGCACAACCTTTCCTGACTGATTGAGTTTGAAATACGATCAAGTTTTTAAGACAAGCATTGAATTCAATGGATGCCCTGAAAAAAAAAATTGAAATTCCCCAGGTGTGCAAGTTTCCATGACTCCAAGTTTCATTTTACAGGTTTCTGAGCTGTACAGTGTATTAACTCAGTCCTGATGTCACCTGTAAAGTAACAGTCCCCAGGGAGTAAACATGCAGCATGCTGTGCAGAGGAAGGCTCTGGAAGGAGATCCTGCAATAGTGAAACTGGACCAAAGGTCACTCTCACCCAAAGAGAAGCGTGTTCTCAGCAGCCATGATGAAAGGAGGGAGGATCTTAGCCTTTCCATACCTGTGACACATTCCCCATCACCCACTCATTCTATACCAGCCCAATTCCAATGTGGGCTTTCCCTAGCAAATACACCCTCTTTCTTTCTGCATCAGACAGTAACTTCTCACCCCAATCCCTCACAAGTCTCCTGAATTTGGTGTCACCAGACCACCATGGAATCTGGACAAAGGACATTTATCAGTAACATGGACCACTGTCTGCATGGCCACGGTTGAAAAACAGGGATTTTTTTTTTTTGCTGCCCCATCTGCAAAGGTTAGCACAGTGACTAGGGCCAGTTCTAAGGGAGTTCAGAGCAACAATGGAAGAAGGACCACTGACATTGTCTTAGCTGAGTCTTTCTAAAGAAAATGTACATGTCAACAAAGACACATTTTCCAATCTATTTATGAATATTCACAGTCACCTCCAAAAAGTCAATTATATGTGATTATCAATTTTTAGATTAATGTCTGATCCTGAATGACCTAGTAGCATTTTCTGTTCTACCCATTTGATTCCAATCACCCTTAATGCTGTTCTTTCTTGACATGTGGGCATGAGACGTTCTGGGCTTGTGTTGATTGTTCATAACAGACTACTATCCTCTGGATAATGTAATTATCTAGATTTCCCATTTCCTCCAGTTTACTGTGCATGGACTCCCATTTTCTCTCACAGAGAATGGCAGAGCACAGAGCGTCTCTGCATGGCTCTTCCTTGAGTTAAGGAGGCTCAGCTTTTCAGAGCACCATGCTACTGACTCTCTCCCATGCGAGCAAAGGCTGTCTTTATGAAGGGGCTCCTTGATCTAACTCCCCTGCAGCCCCCTTGGCCCTGGTTATGCCATGCATATGGATCCCTGATTGGTGGAAACCAAGAAAGCAGATGGCATGCTAACAATGGAAGACTTGTTTGTAATTGCTGATGAGGACTGGTTTGCTCCTCTCCTGAGTGTCCCCAGACGCAGCCTGGTGTGGTGTGCCTGACCACAAAGAATGTCTCAGTAACTGCCAATCCATGGTTGAGTTAAGGAGATGCA